GGAGAAGGGATTGCGGTGTGGCCATCTCCCCTGGGGGGGGGTTTCTCGCTTTCTGTCTCTCTGTCTGTCTGGTGAGCACATGCGCCCTATAGCAAAAACCTCTCCAAAAAAAAAAAAAGTATTTATTTAACTTTATTTATTACTATTATTATTATTTTAATTTTCTATAGGGCACCAGAGAGAGACAGACAGAGACCAAGAGAAAGTGATAAAGGATGCCATCAGGTCCAGGACTTGAACCGTGGTTGGCCATGTAGGAGTCCAGTGCTTTAACCACCATGCCACCTGCTGCCCCCCCTACCCTGTCACAAGGTTCTAATTACTTTTTTTTTTTTTTGGAGAGGTCTTTGCTGTAGGGCACGTGTGCTTGCCAGAAAGACAGAGACAGAAAGTGAGAAATCACTCCCTAGGGAGGATGGCCACACCGCAATCCCTTCTCCTCCATTCTCCTCTCGGGATCTTGGGCACACACGCACATGCGCCCGGCATGGGTTTAAGTCATCGGGTCCGGGACTCAAACCGTGGTCGGCTCCATGGGAGTCCAGCGACATAGCCATTACGCCAACTGCTGGTCCCCTAATTACTTTCGATGCCCTGCCCTTCCTGCCTGTGCAGAGGATATTAGGAGAGTCCAGGTGTGCAGAGGAGCTTTGCTTAGGGCAGGTGTGGGACCAGCCGTTGCCCCTGAGCTTGGCTCACAGCGTAGCGTGGGTGTGGCCCCAGAGTGGGGAGCTGGGTCCATCTGTCTGCTCGTCTGCCCTTTGGCCCCAGTTGATGGGTGCCAAAAGGCCCTGGCCCGCCTTGGGACACCTGTTGCTTTCTGGACCTGTTTCATCTTCCTGGCATTCCCCAGGGAAACTGCTTCTCCTGGGAGACTTTGGTTCCTTCCTCCCAAGGAGACTCTGGGTCTGTCCCGATTGCCTCCAGACATATGGTGCACCCCAGGTTCTGACTGGGCCCTCCCCGTTCCCGCAGCTGGGCCTGTTGGTTGACCTCTCCCCAGACGGCCTCATGATTCCTGAAGACGGAGTGAACGAAGCGGAACTGGAGGCCGAGTTCTTGGCTTTGGTGGGCGGCCAGCCCCCGGCTCTAGAGAAGCTTAAAGCCAAAGGTAGGATGCTCTGCGCACCCCTGAACGTTTTCTGATCTGCGGGGGGCTGGGCTTGGAGCTGGGCGCTGGGGACACGGAGAAGGAAGACAGAGAAGGCTCCTGACAAGCTGGTCTGTATAAAAGGGTGAATGACCAACCCTCAGTTCCCAGACCGAGGGTTCAAATCCCAGCTCTGCAGTTTACTGGCTCTGAGACTTGATGGGTCCCATCATCTGTGTTGGCCTCAGTTTCTCCAGCTGTAAAGTGGGAATCAAAACCTTCCCAGGAAATAGTCTTTTTTTTTTTAATTTTTTTTTTTTTTTTTGAGAGAGGTTTTTGCTATAGGGTGCGTGCACTCGCCAGACAGACAGAGAGAGACAGAAAGCGAGAAATCACCCCCCAGGGGGATGGCCACACTGCAGTCCCTTCTCCTCCATTCTCCTCTCGGGATCTTGGGCACACACACACATGCGCCTGGCGTGAGTTCCAAGCCACCAGGTCCGGGATGCAAACTGCGGTCGACTACATGGGAGCCCAGTGACATAGCCATTACGCCAACTGCTGGTCCCCCATTATTTTCTTTTAGGAATTATTTTTATTTTTATTTTATTATTATCATCATCATCATCATCATCATCATCTGATGTAATCAGAGAGAGAGAGAGAAAGTGAGAAAGTAAGCCACCGGGTCTGGGACTTGAACCATAGTCAGCCATGTTGGAGTCCAACACCCCTGGGAGTAAGGCCCCCTAAGTAAGGTGTCTGAACAGGAGCACACACATGCCCCACATATGTGCAATACACATATACACATTATATATTGGTCTGCTGCCAAAAGCATGCCCAGAGGCTCACAGGTGGCTTAAACTCATGCCGGGCGCATGTGCGTGTGTGCCCAAGATCCCGAGAGGAGAATGGAGGAGAAGGGATTGCGGCGTGGCCATCCCCCCTGGGGGGTGATTTCTCGCTTTCTGTCTCTCTGTCTCTCTCTGTCTTTCTGGCAAGTGCATGCTCCCTGTAGCAAAAACCTCTCAAAAAAAAAATTTTTTTTTAATTTAATTTTATTTATTCACTCATTTATTTTAATTTGACCAGAGAGATGCACACATACACCCACACGCGCGCGTGCACGCGCACACACACACACACACACACACACACAGACAAAGACAGAGAGAAGGAAAGCAAGAAATCAAGCCACATCCTCCAGGACTCAAACCACTGTTGGCCATGTGT